AAGTCTTATGTCTTACAAAATTCTGTCATGGGATATCCAGGTTCTTTTCTATAATTAAAGCCACATTTTCCAACGACTGTTCCTTCCCGGGAGAAAGACAGGGCTTTCTACTTTCGTAAAGAATTGCAGTCTCAAAAACTCAGAGGCATTTCCCCCTATGTAATAGGGTTCTTATGAGTAGGCATTGATTTGATGGCAATAAGGTGGGTTATTTTTTATTATTTTTTGAGGGCTTGTACAATTCTTATCACAGTCCATATTTATATCCATTGGGTCAAGCTCACATGTACATTTGTTGCCCTCATCATTCTCAAAACATTTGCTTTCTACTTGAGTTCTTGGTATCAGCTCCTCATTTTTCCCCTCCCTCATAATCCATTGATAATTCATAAATTATTACTTTTTTTCATGTGTTACACCAAGTGCTATCTCTCTTCGCCCACTTTTCTGTTGCTCGTCCCCCGGGGTGTGTGTGTGTGTGTGTGTTATATGTCAATCATTGTGATCAGTTCCCCCTTTCTCCCCCTACCTTTCCCTTAACCCTCCTGGTATTGCTACTCTCATTATGGTCCTGAGGGGGTTCTCTGTCCTGGATTCCCTGTGTTGTGAGCTCTTGTCTGTACCAGTGTACATGCTCTGGTCTAGCTGGATTTGTAAGGTAGAATTGGGATCATGATAGTGGGGGGAAGGGTTGGGGGGAGCATTAAAGAACTAGAGGAAAGTTGTATGTTTTGTCAGTGCTATACTGCACCCTGACTGTCTTGACTCTTCCTTGTATAGTGATGTCTTTAGACGGCCCCTCTACATCTCATTTGGAAGGCCACGCTCCCACCATCTAATCCAGGTTTCCCTCAGCCCAGGCTTGGGTACTGTTATTGCCCTTCTCACCCCTGCCCAGGAGATCAGGGTTTAAGACTATGCAGGGCTTCTTGGGGACATGGAGGCAAACCGTGAGAGACTGCCAGTGCCTGAATGGCACCTACAAGCACAGTGGAATTGGCGGATGCTTTGTTACACACACAGCAGCACCACACACTGACTACCACCCTTCACAAACCCCCAGGCACGGCAGGCAGCCAAGGCAGGGCGGTGGGCACTACCTTTGTTGTACACATTGGTGGGCAGCTGTACACTGCTCAGGGAGGTGTTCACCCTCAGGTTGCTGAAGTGGGCATTGGCCTCCAGGACCAGCTCCGCTCCCAGTTCCACGTAGCGGCCATGCTCATCTCTCTCGTTGATCAGGACCGAGTTGTAATAGTCAAACTGGGGACGCGGGGTGATGAGCCGGATAGAGATGTGCCAGCCACAGGGCATGCAGAGATGGGGAGAGAGAGGGGGTGGGTGGGAGAGAGAGAGCGGTCAGAGGACTCAGACGTACCAGACAAAGATCCAGCCAGCCGACTCTTGTCCGTGCCAGGCAAGGATCCCGATGGCTGAGGAGCAAAACGTGTATCCAGGAAGCTGGGTTGGTTTCTGGCTGGATTGCCCAGGTTTACTGTTTCAGAGCTCCGTTTGTTTCGTTTAGCTTGTGTGGATACAGCCAGAGATGAGGATAGAGATAGCCAGACAGATACTCAAAGACAGACAAAGAAACCCATGCACTTTCATCAGCTCCCCCTTTTCCTGGGGGAGCATATTCCTTGGGATTCAGAATGGAACCTGAGAGGGGGATGGAGGTGGGGTGAGGCTACTCTCTTTAACTAACAGCCATAGTTCTGGGCCTCAACTTCCATCCATACAGGGCCTGGGGCTTTCCATGGCCCCTGTGAGGAGCCCACTGTCTGCCCTGTCTCACATAGCATCAGGGGTCTGCTTGGAAGACCACCCATGGTGCCAGAATCAGGCCCTCCTCCTGGCCCCTTCCTCCTCCACCTGGTCTAGATCTTCTAAAGCTACTGCTAAGGCAATTGCTCCAAAATACCGTAGAACCCCCCCAAATCTAGCCATCTCCCCACACTACTGCCAACATTGGCTTTCTACGGTCTTCCCCTCCCAGGCCCTCCCTTCCTTACCATTCCTACTGAAGCCTGACCTTGGCATTTAAGGTCCCCAACCATGAGTCCCACCTTCCTTTCCCAGGTCACGATCCCTCTGGACCCAGCTGACCACTCCCTATTTCCTCAGCCAACCTCTGTGATCTAATTTCAATGTCTTCTTTTTCCCAAACTCCTTCTGCACATCTCCCTGTTGTCATTAGGCCTCATTGGGTCGAATTCCAGCTTGTGCAGACTCCACCCACGAGGAAACAAGACGTGGGCTGATCCGTGATGTTTGAGGCTGAGACCATTATGACCCATTGGGTTTTGATTGGCTGATTTTCAGAAGTAGATTGATTGCTAGAGCTTTCTTCCTCGTCTGTCTTAGTCTGGAAGCTCCTCTGAAATCTATTTGACATCATCGAACACACACGCCTCCATGGATAAGATGGCATGAGGTCCACTGGTTGGGATTTGAACCTGAGTCTCCTGGGTGGAAGGCCAGAATGCTACCACGGATCCACCGAGGCTCCACTTCACATCCACACCTGCCTAAATCCCCAGGGCCCGAGGCCCACGCCAAACCCTCTCTCCGAGTCAACAGTTCTGTGTGTAGCTGCCTCGCCCGGTTCTGCACTCTCCGACTACTCTATTGATCCTCTGTACGGAGCTGTCCTGCTTCGAGTAGCTTCATCTGCTCTGTGCGCGTCTTGAAACAAGAGCAGGCCTCTTGCATCTATCTGCTGATTTATGCAGAGGCTAGCATGTTGCTTTGTCTGTGGGCGTGGAGGGACACGTGTCTGTCACGTGAGCCTCTTGGGACTGGACACCATCTGCTCAGGTCTGTAGTTGTCTCTGCTACCTGGTCCATACATCTCTTCCCAAAAGACTTGGTGGAGTAGCGGGTTACTCACTGGGTCAGCAGTTCAAAACCTCCAGCCTCTCCTCGGGAGGAAGATGAGACTTTCTACTCCCATAAAGACTTACAGATTTGGAAACTCCCCCGGGTGGTCCTATTCTGTTCTATGAGGCTGCTAGGAGTCTGCCTCCCCTCCATGACAATGAGACTGGAACATACCGGAGGGCATTAAACTAACAAAGACAAACGGCCGTGGCTTCATGCACATCCTGTGCACGTGTACAGTTGGTGTGGAACATCCCTCACCCCCATCCCCTCTGGACCCACCACCCAGGTGGTATCGACCCTCGGTGGGGGTGAGGACTGGCTGTGGACACCAGAGGACTCACCACCAGAGACTCGTTGAATTCGTGGTTCAGATCAGCCTCTTCGGCGGCCTCCACCAGCCTCTGAGAGACGCAAAGGCAGAAGGAGTGGTCAGGGATAGTGGAGCTCAAACACAGCTCCCCGGCCCCACTCGTCCTGTACAACCCTGAGCGCGGGTCCCTGCGCTCCTGGGGGCACACAGCAGCACGCTGGGAAGGGTGGGAGAAGCTCCCGTGGTGGGCGGAGGTGCTGAGGGCAGCGCAGTGTCTCGGGTGGGGAGAAGACCCCCCAGGCCCGAGGCCCGAGTACCTGCACTGCCTCCACTTTGCTGCGGAGCATGGTCTCCATGTCCTCTGAGAACTGCTTCACCAGCGCCAGGCCGTCCACCTCCTCGATCTGCAGACTGGACTCCACGTCTTCGTACTTCTGCTCCGGGACAGTGGGACCTCAGGCACGCGTGGCTTTGCGCCGTGTGTGGAGCCTGGTCTCTCAGGCAGTGTCCTCCCCCAGTGCTGACTTGCTCATGCCACTAGATGCAAGGACGGGCTCCCCCCTTGCCCAATCTCCCTCAATCACCTTAACCAGATGCCTTCTCTGATCTGTACTCTCTGGACAGATTAGGGTTGGAACCCTCCAGAGGGGCGTAAACTCAGACTCAGCGAGGTCAGTGACCTTGACCAAGGCTATGCAGTCACATGGGTCTCCCAGACGTCCCCGCCCAGGTTCTCTGTGCCTGCTGGAGCCTGCGCACGCTGACCACGAAGCCACTATGGTAAGGTGGCCAGATTTTAACATTGGTACAGCGGGACACCATTGATAAAACTCATATCCTGGTGAAATAGCCACATGGCAGCCGAAAACCGTCTACCCTAGCTTGTCGTGCATTCTTTCCAAAACTCGGGACTTTTTAAAAATGCCGCAGGACACGGAAAAATTGTTAAAAATTGGGACGGCCTGCCAAAAGCAGGGCATCTGGTCACCTTACACTATGAACTTCAGCTCACCTTTCCCAGACCCACCATAAGGAAATCTTGGTGGCCATGTGTCTGTGGGCACACCAGGGTCACCCTTAGTGCGGCAGGTAACGAGGACAAACTGCCAGCAAGCTCAGGAGAATCAGGAGACCGGGTCCAAGCTTCTCTCTGGGCCACAGGAGACAATCTGTCCCTGAGGGTGGGCATGATGGGTCCACTGTCCCAGCTCTGCGACCTATCATAGAATGTGTGACCTCCGGCAAATCACTCAGTTCTCTCATCTTTAAAATGTCACCTTTGCACAGCACTTCACAGAATATGCTTCTACCTCCAAAGGATTGCACAATTACTCCCCTATCTTCCTCGCCTGGGTTGGCGGGTCAGCTGAGAAAGTCAAAGGAGGCAGCACGGAAGCATGGGCCTTGTGGAAGGGGAGGGCTTAGTTATCATTCCTAATGCAGCCTGTGGAAGGACCGTGCCAGGGCCGGGGTGTGTGTGTGTGTGTGTGTGTGTGTGTGTGTGTGTGTACGCCCTTTCAACATGGGGGCCACAGGGAAGAGGGGGAAGGTAGAGACTGCAGTGTGCTCCTGTGTAGACATAAAAGCCTGAGATTCACTCTTAGCTTCACGTGTAAGACGGAGACGTTCAAACTCGTCTCACAGAGCTGTGGGGAGAACTAAATCCTGCCTATAAAGCTCCTGCCAAGGATACCCAGGAAGGAGAATAGCCAGGGAGTCATGAATATTCGAGAGAAATGAAGCTGTTTATTATTAAAGCTGGACTGGGAGTCATGAACCTGAGAGGAAGCTGTTTGTCATCTGGCAAGAGGCCAGGCTAACCATCATTCTGCACATGAAGTCAGGGACCAACGGGGCACGAAAGCGGGGAAGGGGTTGCTCCCTTGCTGTTTGTCCCTTGGGGCGCTTCCTGCCCAGGATATCCACCGTGGGCAGGCGTGGACACAGGGCGGGGCTGGGGGTTTGGAAAGCCCATCCGGCACAGACCAGCCCCAGACCTTCTGCCCCAGCTGCTCCCACGAGGGCCTGTACTCTGCGTCTGAGGCACCCCTTTCCTACCCACCCCTCTTCATAAGGGCCAGGCCCACATTCCATCTGCCCACGCTGCTCCTCCCCCCAGGCAATCTCCACCCTGATGCCTGCATCTCACAGCCTCAGCCCCAGCACAGCGTTCTCGGCCCCTCCACTGCACTGACCCCAGGGCCCCAGTTTGTCACATGGACAAGCTGCTTGGGTCCTAGGACCCCCATGCCCTCATCTGAACAGGAGGGAATTGTATTAGAAGATCTTCAAGGAAAAGGCATTTAGGGATTGGCAATCCTGCTCTCTATCAGGAAGGAGGCGCTGGTCCTGATCACCCTGAGCCCGGGAAGGGGTTACTGACCTTCTGCAGTAAAAGGGAGCCCGAGTATTTGGTCACGGTGTGATACAGGTCCCTGCCGAAGGTGTCTGCCCACAGCCTCACCCTGTGCCAGGGGACAAAAGTGCATGCATTCTGCACACACCACAGAGCAGCTATCTGGACACCCCTTCCCACACACCTATGTGAACACACACATGCACAGAGACTTCCACTCATCCACTGACACCCCCACACACACACACACTCCCAGACACATGAGCACACGCGCCAAGAGCTCTGGGTTGTGAGCGGAGAATGAGGTGCAGGAAGGAGGACAGGAGCAGGAAACGGCTTGGCTACAGCTGTTCCATCTCAGCGAGTCACCCAACGCAGCCTTTCTCCTTGGTGCCCTTGGGGCCTTCTGCTGAAGTCTCGATGGAAGGTGAGGTGAGGGGGCAGGAGAACAGTCTCGGAGCTGCTGCTGCCGAGGCCAGGGGCAGAGGCAGGGGCAGGCAAGGGGGCGTGAAGAGGCCACACCTGGCTGACAGCCCCACCTCCCACCCATCCTCCTGTCAGGCTCTGGGTGGCCCCTCTGTGGTAGACTGGAGGGGCTCTGGGAGAGCAGTCCCAGAACAGGAAGAGCACAAAGCTATGGAAGGGGAGGCATCAAGAGTCAAGCCCAGATTGTACGAGTCCCTGCCAGAGGGCAGGCTGTTTCAGAAGCCACAGCACAGGGCCCAGGGGTATGAGCCAGACATGTCTGCTGGGTCGGACAGTCATAGGAGACTTGGGCAAGTACAGATCTCAGAGGGAGTGGAAGGGGGGTGGGGGAGTCTGAGAGAGAGTGGGAGGGGAGGGAGGGGCCTGATAGGAGAGTGAAAGACTGGGGAGCAGAGTTGAAGAGGAAAGAGAGTGTGGGTGTAGGACAGCAATGTGGGGATCGGGTAAAGCCTCCAGAGGGCAGGTGTGCAGTACAACTGTGGGCATGTTGGCGGGCTCTCAATCTCACCCCGCTCTGGGTTTCCAGTGGGGCTGGTGCACTCCATGGCGACCTCAACTGCAGCCATTGTCACCTGGCACTCAGCCTACCTTCTGCTGTGGACTGTGGGGCGCTCTGGGAGTGAAAATTATTCCGGCCGTCTCCCTTGGCAACGGACAGTCTTATAAACCAAAACCCAAAACAAACTCACTGTCATTGAGTCAATGCTGACTCATAGCAACCCCTTCTGGGTTTCCAAGCCTGTCTCCTACGGAGCTGCTGCTGGTGGTGGTGGTTTTGAACTGCTGACCATTCAGATCACAACCCAACACACAACCACTACTCCACCGGGGGCTTCTTTATAGACTGGTGGAAATGGTGAGAGCACAGACCAGGTGGATTGGAGTTCAAATTCCAGCACCGCTGTTCATTTGCTATGTAGACTCAGGGGAGTTACCTAAGCTTTCTGAGCCTCTGTTTCCCAAACTGTAAACCAGAGATTATATGAACGACCCCACAGGAAGCCCCCAGTACAATGCCCGTCCTACGCAACCAACCCCCAAGCCAAACTCACTGCCATCGAACGGATTCTGACGCACCTATAGGACAGGGTAGAACTGACCCTGTGTGTTTCCAAGGCAAACAGTAACTCTTTGCAGGAATAGAAAACCTCGTCTTTCCTCAGTGGAGCGGCTGGTGGTTTTGAACTGCGTAACCCCTCTGTCATCAGGGGTCCCGAGTCATACAAAATGTAGCAGGTATATGCACACAGCTCCATGGAAATGAGGCTGCCCAAACCCACTGCTCGACGTAGCTACGCACCAACAATACGAGTTACTGGTCTCCCCTGTGCCCACTTCCGTTAGGCACATAGCTGGCAGGAGCCGGATCGCCGTGGCTGGACTCAGACAGGGACCATTGTAGGAGCCCTCAGATTAGGGGACACAGCCTGGGTGCCAGACGCCACCACACTCTGCTCCCCACATACTGGACCTGTCTTTGGTAGGCACACCAGAGCTTAGGACTAAAAAACAAATGTTCCCCAAGAAACCAAGTGTGTGGCAGACATACAGCGGAATGAAGGGCTGACGGTGCTACCCTCCGGGGGAATCTCAGGAACGATACGCTGTTAAAGAAGTCCCATCGTGTATGATTCCCTTGAAATGAACTAACCAGACGCGGTAAATCCCAGACGAGGTTTAAGTCCCCAGCTGCCAGGGACTGGGGAGGGGAGGAAACAGTGACTGGGCTTGGGGATTTATTTTAAAGCGTTTAGAACCAGAGAGTCTTGGTGGATGCACCACATTGACAACGTACGTTAACAAGGTTAATATTCAAAAATAATAATAGTAAATAAATAAAAGCTTAGAGTATGGTAGGTGAATTTTACCTATATTTAAAAATGCAAAAATAGAAACACCGACAGAGACGCGGCAGAGTCCTGGAAGTTTACACTAACATGTAAAGGACTGATACAGGTTCTTTCCGAGAGCTGGGTTTCATGACAGGGTCCTGGGGGTGGCAGGATTACATAGAAAGGGATCCTGGGGTCCCTAAGTCTCATTTTTCTCCTTTCTGGGCCAGCCACCTCCTGTTTGTATGCGGCATTCCCTTCCTTTTGAACAGCTCCTCCTTTTCAGAAGGCTGAAATAGGAATTTCCTACCCCACCCTTCAGGTGCTCCAGGGGGGCGGCCTGCCACCCCAATGAAGGCCTGCGTCCTGATGGTTAGTCTGCTGGAGAGGGGGCAGTGAGCAGAGCTTTAGGGAGGAGAGGAGGCTGATGGCAGGGAGTCGTGAAGAAAGGCTTTCACAGCGGCCAAGAGAAGAATGGGCAGTCTAGGCCCCTTGGGAAGCAGGGGCTTCACAGGTGGGAGGGGTGGAAGAGGCAGCAGCAGGCAGGAGGGAGGAGAGGCTGGATTTGATGCTTACGTGTCCAGAGGAATCTTGGTCTGATCCTGCGTGGGAGGCAGGGAGAGGCAGGATGGCAGCAGCCACAGGATGACCATGTTCCTCTGCAGGAAGGTGCGGGCCACTGACCGTGGGGGCCAGGGAATCCTGCTGCGGGTGGAGCCGGGCTTTGGGTGGACCATGGGAAGTCTAGGCATCAGGGGGGTGGGAGGAGGGAGCTTCGTCTGCTGATCACCCAGGATTCTGGGAGGGTCCTCAAGCTTCTTTCTGCCTTCCAGGTCCTGCAAACACGGGGCTTCTCAGCCTTGCAGTCAGGGCCCAGCTGGCTTGCCTGGGGGTGGGGGGTGAGGGTGGCTCTCTCTTCCCTGGCCCTGCGACAGACCTAGGAGCTGTCCAGGCTTCCAGGAGAGGGGCTGACGGGTCTAGCGGGAAAGGCTGTGATACAATGAACCCCTTTAATCCACTGACCTATCCTCTAATCCCTGCCTGACAGCAGAGAGGAGGGGGGTGGCAGAAGGCGTGGGGGTGGAGGACCTCAGCAGGATTACCCTGATTTCTGAAGACAGAGCTCTGTTTTTTTGAGTAGGGGTTGAAGCACACCCTTCAGCTTTACAGAGGCAGACCTGCTCCTGCAGAACAGCCCCTGACCTCAGACGAGGAAGGTGCGGTGACACAGGTCAGAGGCAACCCCTGGCTTCCGGGTGTCCCCAGCTCTAACAAACTCACCTCAAGAAACCTCCGACAGTCCTTGGAGGCCAGGGCTACCGGCTCTGTTTGTTTGGGTTTGGGTTGTTTGGAATTGGCTGAAGTCAGTTGAGCAGACCCATCTTCAACCCAATAGCTGATATGCATTTTGCTTTGGGTCCTTGGCTACCACGCCCACCATGTAACAGGGCGTGGTGCACATCCCCTGATGCGTCTCAGATCCATTCACCCCCTTCTTCTGGACCCTTCTGAACTGCGTCCTTGGGCAAAGGCGGCTCTTCTGGATTCCAGCGGGTGATTGTGCTAAGGGGTGCTTCCTTCCCTGATGGTGGTGCTCCCTTTAGAGACCTGTCTGAGGTACAGGCCCGAAGGGTGACTGAGCGCCACAGTCACAGAAGCCAGGAGCAGGGAGACAGCAAGGCCGTCCCCCCACCACCCCTGCTTTTCAGGAAGGGCGCGAAGGCTCAGGAAGGGCAGGGGCAGCGCTGGGACTCTGACTCAGGTGAGTTGTAGTGGATTGTGACCCAGGTTATAGAAAACGACATAGTCCTATAGATCCTGCCGGACGCGCCACGTCTTACCTTTGCATGGTTCTAGCACAGGGGCTAGAAGCTTCAAGGACCCTCACTTTCCACGGAGGGACCTTAGCAATACATTCCTATGGCCAAATTTTTTGGTGTGTG